TGAGCCCTGCAAAGTGCAGCGCGAGCCCTTGAAGCCCGAGCCTCTAGAAGCCGCGGGATAGGGTTTAGGTTTGGGGAGTTTAGGGTTTAGGGAGTTTAGGGTTTAGGGAGTTTAGGGAGTTTAGGGGGTTTAGGGAGTTTAGGGTTGTTGATGATATACACCCTGCTATACCTTACGGACCCTTAACTATGGGAATTATGGTACATTCCTTATTATGGGTAATGCAGGATTTATATCAGCAACCATAAGTTTACCGAAAGAGGGGGTGAAAAAGAGTGGTGGCGGGCGGAGAGGCGTGGATTGTGGGGTTCTGTACAGGATTTATGCGCTGTTGGGTAAGGCAGAGTGCTGGAGTGATTGTAGAAGGTTCCATCGGGTTCACAGTTTGGGCATGGGCCTCACTACTTGTCTCCGAAGAGACACCTTCTAGCTGCAATATGTGAGAAGCCTCAGCCCCAAGCATGAGCCTGCAACGTGGCGGAAAAACGCGACTGCTGGTGGGGGGTTTGGGGAGCGCCGGGTATGCAAGAGTATGCGCAGGTATGCCCGAGTATACCCGAGTATGCACGAGTAGGCGCGTGTATGCGCGAGTATGCGCGGGTATGCCCGAGTATGTGCGCGAGTATGTGTGAGTATGCGTGGGTATGCGCGGGTATGTGCGAGTATGCCCGAGTATGCGCGAGTATGCGCGGGTATGCGCGGGTATGCGCGGCTATGCGCGAGCATGCGTGAGTATGCGTGTGTATGCGTGACAGTTTCAAGTACGAGCGAGTATGCGCAGGTATGCACGAGTGTTGATTATTGTCTTTATTAATCTTAGTCTTATTCGTATTTATTAGTCTTATGATGGATATATATATATATATATAATACATGACATACTGTATATTATCTTTTCATGTAAGAGACTATGTGTTGTCCTTATTTTGTATACTTTATTATGTATTATCTATGTTATGTAACACATCTTGTATTGTAGACTACCAAATACATAAGGTATGTAAGAACTGAAGTATTTTGTATTATGTAAAATAGTGTGTGTATATATATATATATATGTATATTACATCTACACCTATGCTTTATAATATATACGTATATATGTTTGGATTTTCTTCTATACACCATGTATCAACAATGTTATGCAAATAAATGAGATTATGAATATTACATACTGTATAAAGCATATTATACATTGTATTGCAGATTCTACATACATACTGGTGAACCCTATATCATATACCATATAGGTTGTATGGTTTATAGTCGTGAATACCATGGTCTGTGTTTTCTGATAGCTGCTATACATTGTAGTGCCACTCGGGCGTACTCAAGCACATTGAGCATAATCGAGCGTACTCGAGTATCTTAAACCCTATACCCTAAACCCTAAACCCCTCGTGCGTACTCGAGCATACTCGAGCGTATGCGCAAGTACTCGGAGTGCAGTCGCCCATCGCATCCGCAATGTAAGCCTGCACCCAAGAAGTTTTACTTTACCCCAAAAAACACCCTGAATCCTGCATCCCTACACCCTAAACCAAAACCCTGAACCCTAAACCCTAAATTCTAAACCCTGAACCCTGAACCCTAAATTCTAAACCCTGCTAAGCCCTAAACCCTAAATTCTAAAGCCTAAACGGCCTGAGCCCTAAATCCTAAGGCCGCATCCTCTGAAGACGCCTCCTTCGCGTACTCGGACTCAAACAAGTCTGGGCGCACAAACTCAAACACCGCCGCTGCGACCTCCTTCCGGAAGAGTACGAATCAGAAGCAGGAATTATGGTTTTGGGGTTGTAGGCTCGAGTTTTGGGTTTTATAGGGTTTCGAAGTTGAACCGTTGAGGAGTCCAGGTTCTTGGGGTTTGGGGTGTATAAGTTTTTGCACGTTGCGATAGTACGAAACCACAGTAATAGCAATGCTACAGAAACGTCAGCAACCGTTTAAACCAAACTATGCTGAAGTTTCGACGCAATGATTTAGAGCGTAGGCCTGCGGTGCAAGAAGACCACTAGGCCGCGACTTTTTAGGGTTTAGGATTCTGGGTTTGCGGGGATTTGAGGGTTTGCGGTGAGTCTCCACAGTTGAGGCATGCAGGCTTTTAGGATTTGGTGTATCAATCTGCAGGCAGGCAACTTCTGGAATTAGAGTCACGGATGTGGGGTTTTCGACGAAGGCGGCTTCGTGTTTTCGGACTTCGGTGGCAAGGTTTTGGGCTTCAGGTGCAAGGGTTGAGGGCTTGCTCCTCGACAACTTTCAAGGCTTCTTGACATTACTATAGGGTCGAAATTACCAACACTATTTTGAAGGGCCCCTGATTCAAAATACAACATCATGTACCCCAAAACCCTATTCTAATCATTAAGGCCCCTATATCTGGGTTCTCCAAACATGAAGGGACCCTGTGCCAACCCTTCATAGCCAAACAAATCCCTCCGACATCCAGGAATCTCAATCTTGCGGTGGATCCTGATCCTGGTTAAAGGAAACTACAGGTGGGGAGTTTAGGGTATAGGGTTTAGGGTTTAGGGTTTAGGGTTTAGGGTTTAAGGTTTAGGGTTTAGAGTTAGGTGGGGAGTTTAGGGTATATAGGGCTTCTAAAAGGCTTCTATAAGGTATCTAGACCTTCTATAAGGCTCCAAGAACGGTAACTACCCACCTGAAAATGTCCTAGACCTGGATTACAACCTGAAGCCAAACCCTAAACCCTCTAGCGAAGCCCCAAACTCTAAGCCCTCTACCCGAAATCCCTGCAACTCAACCCCCCAAGCCTACACCCTAAAACCCTGGACCTTCAAGCCTAATGTAGGGGCCTTAGAATAGGGTTTGGGGGTCCATTTTTGTATATATAGTATATTTATGATAAGGAACCTCCAAAGATAGTATTGGTAATTATTGAGGCCCCTATTTTTAACCCTGCACCTCAAGACCCTAAACCCTAAGCCCTAAACCCTAAACCCTAAGACCCTGACACCCTCTTCGAGCCTCGGGCGTCGGCCAGATGTCGCTCAGGAAGACCTGCGCCGGCGCTCAGGTTTTGAGCGCCTCGGGCTCACAGCCTTACGCTTCAAGTTTAAGTTTAAAGCTTAGGAACCTTGGGGTTTAGGGTTTAGGGTTTGGGGTTTAGGGTTCAAGTTCACACAGGTTGCTTCCGCTGATGGGGCGGGTGGGGTGCCACCCCCCACAAGCGAAGCCCCATTCTCGTGCCGAAAGGGTAGGCTTGCTTTGGAGGACTTTCCGGACCGCTTCCAACCCGCCAAAAGCAAACCCGCATTCTCGAGCCGAAAAGGGGGGTTTGCTTTAAAGGACAATCCAAAAAGTTTATGGGCAGGAGCAGAGGCCGTGGCTAACGCCAGGATGCAGCCTGGGACCAAAAAAACAAGAAAACCAAAGCTCCACAGAATGTTGGACCTGCTTTGTGTTTTTGGTTGTTTGGTGGTTTGGTGTTCTGGTTTTTGGTTTTTTTTGTATTTTGGTTTTTTGTTTTGTGAAACACAACGCTTTCCACTGCAAAACCAAAAGACAAAAACAGAAAACAAAACAAAAACAAACCACACACACACACACAAACCCAGAAAGACAAAACAGGTCCAACATTATCCGTGGAGCTTTGGTTTTCTGGTGTTCCACAGACATGACCGGAGGGCTCAAATTCGATACCCCGAAAAAAGCACGAACATGCCAGGCGGAGCGATGTTTTAAAGGGGATGGTCTGTCGTGGTGGCTGACCGTATGTATATATATATATACACACACACACCATACTGTGGCTTATTACGAAAAGAACCTTAGGAGAATGCGAGCTGCTACATTGTATATGCCGAGTCTCTGCTTTTCTAGGGAAAATAGAGTTCAGGGCTTGGGGTTTGGAGTTTAGATTTTGACGGCTTAGAGTTTAGTTTAGGACTTAGGATGTAAGGCGGTTTAGCAAGGCAACCCAGCATCTTGACCCCGAAGCCCCGTTTAGGGTCGAACATACACCCAAAATTGCGGGATCCTAGTTGCTGGGAAGCCTAAACTAACAACATACACCCCTAGATGCCGGCGGGGGAAGCTTCATTGTTGCCAAACCCGATGGAGCTGCTGGGCATTTCGAAGGCCTCGCGACCGTCTGGGTCCAGGCCAAGTGCCTGGAAAGCGCCGGATCAAGCTTCGGCATAACCCTCTGGTCTGGGGCCAATAGGGTACAGGGCTGCAGGGCTGTAGGGCTTTACGGTCCCGAAACCCTAAAACCTAAACCCTAAATCCTAAAACGGCTCCAGCAGTTTGGGGCTTCAAGTTGGAGGGCTTGGGCTATGTGCTCGGGTTAAGGCTGCGTTCGCTCCAAGGCTTTAGGCTTTTGGGCCTTGCGGGGGAGGCTTTGAGCATAAAGGGACCAAAATCGGCAACCGTCATCCCAGAATTCTTAAGGCTCCCACATCCGTGGGTGTGTGTGGTTTCCCAACTCACGCGGTCTATGTATATAGGTTTGGATTGCAGTATTTTGCCGGGGTGTTTGAAGCTTCCGCGACTGCGGGCTTACCCTAAACCCTAAAGCCTAAAGTCTCCACGAAGGATATGCAACGGCCTAAACCCAAACCCCTAAACAGGCTCAGGATTCAAACCTCAAGGCTAGCGGAGAGCTTGGGAACGTCTTGGGCTTGAGGGTTTAGGGTTTAGGGTTTAGGGTTTAGGGTGAGGGCTCGAGGTATTAGGGCTTGGAGTGAGTGCGAGGTTAAGACTTTAGGCTTGAGCCTCGGTTTCGAAGTCGATGTCCACACGCCCTGCCAACGCTGCCTCAGCGCGGAAGAAGCACTCTGGCTATCTCAGTACTCAGATGACAAACAATCTCCTGATGATCATCACCACCACTGCCAGCATAATGATTATTCATCGCCAGCATCATCGCCATCCTCATCTTCGTGGTCTGTAGCATGCCTTAGTGGCTTATCTGCCCGTCACTGCTTCTTCAGCTTCACAATAAGAATCATAATAGAAGCATATATGTCATATATGATTGGCACTCCCATCTGTTCTTGCTTCTCCTGAACTTTCTTGCTACTGCTGAGATCAAGCCGGTCCTCCAGCCTTATCATCTATAACATCATCAACACCAAGCTTACTAGCAGTTCCTGTCATGACATTCCACGCCAACATCATGAACAACCTAATTATCGGCACCGTTTTCGTCATCAGCATCCTCATAATCATCATCGTCAGCAAAATAAGAGGAACGCCAACAGCAACAGCAACAGCAGCGACAAAGAAGCAGCCACAACCACGAGTAAATGTGCCACCTTCTGATTGGTATGATTGCGTATCAGTTTCTACCGCTACTACACTATGCACCATGATTGCAATAGTCAAGAGTCGCTTCGTGCCGAGATTGGGGTAGCTACACGTTTCTGCCGAGAGCCTTAATCTGCAAGCCCCAACGGGTGAAACCCAGCTGTAGGACAGTTCCAAACATTTGTCATTAGTTCCCCGGAAGACTCCCGGTGTCGGTTAGGCTTCAAGCCATGCAGGTGCGCTCCGAACCCCAAACCCCCAACCTCCAAACCACTGACCCTGAACCCTGTTGCAGCATTTCGGCGGCCACCACCAGAGGTGGCGAGGCGAGGTAGTTGGCCTTCACTGAGAGATGGACGCGTCCTCACGACCAGGCACTTTGGAATTTTAGGGTTTACAGCAGATACGGGCGACGGACACTTTGGGACGATATCAGCAGCAAGAATGATGACGATCATCGAAAGGCGGATGACAAGCCTTGCAACGACAAGAACACGGACGGCAAAGACTGATGGCGATACAAAGTGTACGATTAACAACTCTAGGAATTGTCAGATACAGACGAAGTCCCTACACTTCGGCTTCGACGTCCCAACACTTCGGCTTCGATGTCCCTACACTTCGGCTTCGACGGCCTTCGAAGTTCCGGTTCCCCGACAACACCGCGGCCGTGATGAGGCCCTGGTCGGCGGCGGCCTGTGGGAGCTTTTTTTCGGGTTCAGGGATTTTTAGGGGTTTAGTGTTTAGAAATTGCAAAATTTAGGGTTTAGGGGTTTAGGGTTCAGGGATTTAGGGATTTGGGGTTTTAGGGCTTGGGGTTGTTTAGGGTTTGGGGTTGAAGGCTCGGGGCTTAGGATCAGGAGTTGGGGTGTAGTATTTTAGGGGGTTTGGGGTCTACGGGGTGAAGGGAGCATCCGACAGGCATGAGGAGTTCAGAGCACGTGCGCTGAAGAGTTCTCCAGTATTGCAAACCCGAGCTACACTTAAACCCCCAAAAGCCCAAAGCCCCGGGAGTAGTAGTAGTCGTCGTCGTCGCAGTAGTAGTAGAGGTAGCATCGTCAGCAGCAGCAGCAGTAGCAGCAGTAGCAGCAGTAGAGCAGTAGCAGTAGCAGTAGCAATAGCAGTAGCAGCAGCAGTCGCAGTGGCAGTGGCAGTCGGGGTCAAGTCGCAGTCGCAGTTGCAGTCGCTGTTGGTGTTGTTGTTGCTGTTGCCGTTGCTGTTGCCGTTGCCGTTGCTGTTGCTGCTGATGTTGCTGCTGCTATTGCTGTTGTTGCTGTTGTTGTTGTTGTTGTTGTTGTTGTTGTTGTCGTTGTCGTCGTTGTCGTTGTTGTTGTCGTTGTTGTTGTTGTTGTTGTTGTTGTTGTTGTGGTTGGTGTTGTTGATACTGTTGTTGTTGCTGTTGTTGTTGTTGTACTACAGGTAGATAAAACAGCACTTGTACCAAGAAAAACCGCAGCAGGAGAAGGATGAGGAAGAGGAGTGACAGTAGCAGCAGCAATAGTAATCATCATCATCAGGATAATCACCACAGTCATCATTGTCATGAACAAGATGGAAACCATCATCAAAGCACGAACTACGGGGAATGCCAGTAACCATCACCATTGACACGATGACAAGAAACAGGAGAACCACCATGTTGTTGGTAGCAATATCATATATTACCGCGAACATGATTGTTAGCTATTAGCTTTGCTATGTTCACTTCTGCTATTAGTATTACTGAGGTTATTAGCATGACTGATATTTATTGTTGTGTAATTACTTTTGTTATTACTGGTATCGAGATGGTAACCTGGTCAACCCTAAGGAACCTGCATTGCGGGGTCGACGTCGCCAGAGTTGCCCATGCCTCGATTTGCCGTTGAAAATGTGCGTTGGCCAAGCTCCAGCCATAGTCAGCATCGTCACCAACTTCTTCATTCTTCTCCTTATCGTCGCGACATTAACACCATAAAGAACACTGTCATGTTCATCGTCGTCAACGCAACCCTCCACAGCGTCTGCACCATACTGCTCATCATCCGTTTCCTGATCTACGTTCTCGCTGTCCTCTCCCCCTCCGAAAAGAAACCCTTTTCTCAAACCCTGAACATCCACGCTTCCGGCCTCAGAGGGCTTCGAATGCGACAGCGTTGTTTCGAGGCTGAGGGACTGAGGGTTTAGGGTTTCAGTGTTTGGCGCTCATAATGTAGAGGCCGTAACAATGAAACCAGGGCTTGGGGATACAATACGACTACGATATACAGTAACTTTAGTAGAACTACAGTAGAACTACAATGTGGGGGTTTCCGAAAATAGGGGACCCTAATATAGTACCCTAATTAATAGGATCCTTAATATAAGGACCCCAAAATAAGGTACCCCTATTTTTCGGAAACCACCATGTAGCTATAAGGTAAAAAAACTCAAAGACCACTAGGGCGTGAGGGGCTGTGCTACCAGCTCGCGCCCTGCCCTAAGCCCTAAACCCTAAACAAACCTAAAACCCTAAAAACTTAAACCCTAAAAGCCCGAAAAGCCCTAAAAACCCTAAAAACCGTAAAAACCCTAAAAACCCCCCAAAAACCTAAAAAAAAAAAAACTAAACCCCTAAACCCTAAACCCGCACACCCTAAACCCCTCAAAACCCTAAAAACCCTAAAACCCTAAAAACCCTAAAAACCCTGAAACCCCTAAACCCTAAACCCCGAAACCCTAAACCCTACGCCTAGGCGCATGTTGTGCAGCCGTAGCCCACGGTGTGGAAGCCGAGAGCCTCCAGCGGGCCTGAGAGCCCCGCAGCCTGCAGAGGATCTAGAGACTCCAAAACCCCTTAAGTAAGGAATATACCTTAAATCATATTAGGGATCCTAGTATAATTTAAGTATATTCCTTAATTAAGGGGTTTTGGAGTTTATGAGGATCTGTTGGTTTAGGGCTTAGGGGTTAGGGATGTAGGGTTTAGGGTTAGGGATTTAGGTTGCAGAGTTTAGGGTTTAGGGTTTAGGGTTTAGGGTTTTGGGTTAGGGATGTAGGGTTTAGGGTTTAGGGATTTACGGATTTTGGGTTTAGGGATTCAGGGCTTTAGGGTTTAGGGTTTAGGGATTTAGGGCTTTAGGGTTTAGGGTTTAGGGTTCGGGGTTTTGGGGTTTGGGCTTTGCAACTCGGGGTCTGGAGAGTTGAGGCTTGAGGCTTCAGGCTTCAGGGTGCGCGGTGCAGGATTGAAGCCAACCCGGTTTAGGGATTTAGGGTTTAGGCTCGCAGTTTTGCGAGTCCAAACTTCCAGGGTTCAGGCTCGGGCTCGTTTATATAGGGCTTAGGTTTTGTTCAGGGGTTACATATAAAGTCCTAGAAGTTGCAAGTCCAAACTTCCAGGGTTTAGTTTAGGGTTTAGGGTTTAGGGTTAAGGGTTTAGGGTTTAGGGTTTGGGGAGAGACAGAACTCCGAAGCTGCATGATGTAGGGGCCTTATAATGAGACTAGGGTTTTGGGGCCCCTTTAAAGGGTTCCTTAAGGGTTTCTATAAGGGCTACTACAAGGGTTTAGTATAGGGGTCTTAATAACTAGAATATGCTTTTGGGGGGGTATATTCTACTATAATTGTAATAAGGAACCCCCAAAGTAGTATCGTTAATTATTGAGGAACCCACTTTAACCACTCTTTCAGGACACCTCCAAGTAGCGCGTCACCACACGTGATCCAGGGGCAAGCGATGTCTTCACGTGCTCTGGGGTGCGCAAGCCACGCTGGACGGCCTGAGATCAAAACGATCGTTGGAAGGTGTTCTGCGACCAACAACACAGCTTCTAGCGTCATCACGGTGGCCTGTTCCCCGCGAGTCAGTCGATCACGAGCAGCACAGCTGTTTGCATCTCGGGTGTTCTTTACTGTTACTGCTCATGCCCCTGAAGATTGAACATGGTCTTCTGACTCGTCTGCTACACACAAATACTCTCACTCCTCCTCTCCGTGGAATCAGTGTCATTGCTGTTGCAGATCTGCTTGCTACTCATGCCGTCAGTCAGTCTCATTGCACCCTTCCTTTAAGTAAGCTCAATACTCGTGCCCTGAAACATGTTACGACCCCGTAATTCTCCAATGAGCAGGCTATGAGAAATAGTCTAGGTACTCTCAGTACAGCAACTAACCCGCACCCACAGTTATTGTGCGCATTATTGCTCCTTGTGCTCTGACACCTCTTGTGTTGCTCGCCTCCACCCCAGCGACGTCGTACTCCGATTGCTCAAAGGCTCGCACCGGTCGTCGTTCAACTCATGTTGCACTTTCCACTTTCCCCAGTCTTGGCACTAAAGTTGCCAGTCTTTTCACTCGCAGCTGCTTGAGCGTACATGTGTGTGTGTGTGTGTGTGTGTTTGCTTGTGCGTGTGTGTG